AGATGGTAGTGGAAAAATAAGAAAATATTTGTAAGGGACGATGACACAGTACATGTGAGAAACAATTCATGAGTTGGCATAAGTACACACTATATTTTCCCCTAAACATGGAGCTAGTGCATAGTAGAATAGGAATTTGAGGACTCTTCCATATGTTTTAAATCCCATCACAAAAAACTATTGTCCTCTGCTTCCACAACAGAGAACTTCTGGTTGTAGATAAAATCAGAGATAAATAGATGCACAATCTTTGTGGAAACTTAGTACAGAAAATGGATGATGCAAACTAGAAGCATCTTACAAAATTGGCACAGACACAAGTACTTAAGAATGATAACAAATGTCCATACATTTCAATGATATTATATTCTACTAAACTAGAATCTAGGAAATAAATCTAGAATATTTAGAGGAACTATGCTGAACTTCATCTAACAATAAAGATCTAATTGGCAAGGTCAGTGAGAGGGGCCTTAGGGAAAATGAGCATCATAAAATTCATGCAGTCACCAGGGACATGCTGTGCAGTTTGAAGAGTACACTCTAAGAGGTGGGGAAACATGCCAGAGATGATAGTGAATGTGATTCTGCAGCACTGAGTATCAGGAGACAGGTGTCTAACGAGAGGAGGAACTGCTCTGCAGTGCCATTGACCACATGAGATCCCAATGAACAAAAGATACAGGAGCCCAGAGGAGGCTGATGCTCACAAAGGGAACTCCTGTTTACAGGAGAGATTTGCTGATGGTGTGGGCTACCATGGGCATAGGAAGTCACATCAATGGAGGTATCGAAGCATCAACTAAACAACCAGTTGGCAGGAACCGGGATACTGTATCTCTGATTTACAGCCTCTGAGAGTAAATTCTATCAGGGGACTCTAAGAGCTCCTTCCATTACTGAGTCTCTATGAGGTTTCTAAATTCTCTGTCTCGTTCAAACACTACAACTGATTGACTGATGACATGGCTGTCATTCTCAGAAGTCCACAAGCATTCAAAGGTATAACATTAAACAAATAATACAAGATACCACCAAATCACGTTATCCATTTACCTAGGAAAAAAAGGAGCTCCCTCTCAAAATCCTTTCAAGTTGATTCTTATAATTTTGACACACCTATGAGGGTCTGGATTTCATTCTTGCAGTCTCAGATATCTGATTTCATATAAAGGATGAGCCCTCCTCTAGGGGCCTAACAACTGTATCCATCCCCATAAACTAATATGCCAATTTATTAGTCATGCGTAAAACTGTAATAACTGTAGTTTTTATAGTCTATTTGACCAGTTGTTTCTCTGTGCACGAATGTCGAAAAGGGAAGTCAAATAATAACAGGGAGCTTGTTTTCTGAGCAAAGAATCAGGTGCAGTGCCATGCTCCCCTGTGCGGTGCTGGTTGTGTGTGCCCACCTTGGCCTGTGTGGCTCTCCTGACCCTGAACTTCTATGGTTGACTACCAAATGCCCATTTAAGAAACACTCATTTCTACAAGTCCTCAACCAGGCTAGCGAATATTCTACCACGTTTGATATAATTCTTTCTCTTTAAAGTGCCTTGTGTTAATTGGCTCTGCTCCTGTTTATATCTTTCAGTACAACTCTGGCAAGGAAATCCTGTCATCTGTGGATGATATGACGGTGTGTGTAAAATTTCCCAAAAAAATCTATTGCTGAGCTAGAATTAATAGGAGAGTTTGGTTATAAGATCAACATATAAATATGAATTACTTTTTTATATGTAAGAAACCATGAAAAGTTCAACTGTTAAATTGTAACCTATAAGAGCATAAAAAAATAAAATACCCAGGGAAACATCTAATAAAAAACGGGAAAGATCTTTACAGGGAATGGTGACTCACCAATGCTACAAGAATTTCACTTGTAGATGTTTATCCAGCAAAAATGTTTATATGTGTTTCTCGAAGGACCTGTACTAGAACATTCATAGCAGCACTGTTTTTACTAGTCCCAAACTACAAACAATCCACGTGTATACCAACAGCAAAGTGAACAAATCAATTGTGTCATATTCATTCAGTGGAAGATTATACAGGAAGGAGAAAGAATGAACCTCAGATGATAACACAGACGAGTCTCACAATCATCATGGCAAGAGAAAGCAGCCAATTCTATACTATTTCATCCATACAAAATTAAAAACAACCTAAACTTATACCTTTGGGAATGAGTGAGTGATATGAAGAGGATGGAGTTAAATTTTATTTCTTAACCTGGTAATAGTGAGATGGGTCTGTTCACTTTGAGATAACCTCTCAAGTTGGAAATTAATACCAATTTACCAGGCTGGAAATGACAAATCTGAGCACTTTCTAAAATGAATGTTAAAAATCACAAAAACGTTTTGAACATGCTAGAACTCAAAGATAGTTCAGGTATCATCTCACCTAATCTAAGTATTTCACTAAAAACAGAAAAAGGAAGAAAATAAATGTACAGTCAGTGACCTAATGACTCTGGTAGTAAACAGTTCTGACCGGCCCAGGCCAGCAGAAACGATATGGTCACAGGGCCAAGTGAGTGAAGCAGGAACATGCTGATAATGTGACCATTTCTTTTTATCTAAACAAATAAAAAAGGTTTCTAAGCGTTTTTATCAATTAAGAAATTGATTAAGCACTTATTTTCAAAAGGTTTGTAACTTTTACGGAACAACTTCCTGTTCACAACTTCCTGTGACTGTGGAAACAATGTAAACAAGGACAAGGAAAACTCTGCTCACTGGTGCCAACTTTTGGGGGTCCAGGGTATAAAAGCCCCAGGGGAGAAAAGTCATCAGATTCTGGAAACTCACCTCTGAACGGAAACTCAGCCTCCACTCCTGACACCATGTGCTGCTCCCCTTGCTGCCAGCCCACCTGCTGTGGTTCCAGCTGTTGTGGGTCAGGCTGCTGCCAACCTTGCAGCTGCCCAACCTGCTGTCAGACCACCTGCTGTAGGACCACCTGCTGGCACCCCTGCTGTGCATCCAGCTGCTGCCAGCCTTGCTGCCGCCCCTGCTGTGTGTCCAGCTGCTGCCAGCCTTGCTGC